TGGGGGTCTCGCGTTCAACGTCACTGCCAGATCCCTCGGGCTTGCTGTTGCTGCTGCTGCTGCTGCTGCTGCTGGTGCTGCTGCTGCTCTCCCTCCGCCTACCAGCTGTGCTTGCAGCAATATCTGTGGAGCCTTCTGTTTCGGCGCCCTCCTCAAGTGGGATCTTGAAGGCGTTGCTGAAGGCAGCAGCAGCAGCAGCGGCCGCAGCAGCAGCAGGGGGGCCCCCCTGCACAGCAGCCGGGGAGCAGCCCGCAGCAACACCAAGGGGCCCCTTTAGGGCCCCCTGCAGCTCGGGGGGGGCCGTCAGGCCTTCGTATTCCCCGCAGCTGCCTACAGCGGCCGTTGCTGAACCTCGAGGATCCCCCATGAACTCAAATGACAAGCCAGCAGGCTGTTGAGGTAGCGCCTCTGTTGGATCTGAGGGAGGAAATCACTTAGAAATGGCTCCCAGCTCGGTATATTGAGTTAATTGAGCTGAGTTTATAGCAACACAAGAAAAAAGGAAAAAAAACCTTGCAGCATCGCGCAGCCGCCTCTGTGCTTCTTACCGCAGCAGAAGCAAGCGGCAGCTACAGAGGCAAGAGATGAATGTTTTTCGCTTTTAAAGGGTTTTATGGATTTATTTAGATGCAATAAATGAAATTCATAAGGAAAGGATCAAATTCAATAAAAATGAATGCAGCTTTCGTACGAAACTCTATACCACCGGCGGCAGCGACCATTGGAACGCGGCGACTGTACATACACCCGAATCCTTCATTGCAGAAAGCACTGAAAAGCAACGAAAAATAACGTTTTATTTGTTTTTAAAAGGTTTATATCTCGCATTCAGACCATTTAAAACAAATACTTCAACAATTTGTTGCATGTTTGCCTGCACAGCTTCCGTTCGTACTATACACCCCACTTGAGGCTCTTAACGTCTGGTTCACGGAGAGGGAAACTGTTGTTTTTGTTTTATATAAAGGAATAATTAATTGTTTCTAAGCTCACTGACAAAGACTTTACTCACGAAGACATCAAAAAATATTAAAAACAAACGTTTCCACCCACACAACTACGCATGGATTGCGAAAGCCCTCTTACAAGTTAGGGGCCCCAACAAGGCCCTCTCGACTGCATCTATGCACTTCTAAGTATCTTCTGTTATGGGGAGGAGAAGGAGATGATGAGACAGTCTGGAAGAGGGTGAACAGCAAAGAAGCTCCTCTACTTCTTCCCCCCCAGCTTTCCTTTAGCTTCGGTTAGCTGTACGTGAAGGCGTAACGAAAAATGAACGGCTGTTCTCAGCCCAGCAATGCAGTTATGTTTACCTGCTTTCTAATCTTCTTAAAGCATTTTTAGAATTCTAATGGGGACAGACAATGGCTTCAATTCAGCTCCCCTTAGGGCAACCAAGGAGAGAGATATGCCCTTCAACTCCGTGCCCGTCTACAACATGCAGGGTCAAGTGCATGCATAGGCATGGGGTGTATCTTCAGTTGTGAAGCTCTTCTTCAGCTGCTATAAGACCCTCCCAGGCATGTTTGTTTGCCCTATCTCTATCGATAAGGGGGAGCACAGTATCCACAGGCGGACCTTGACAACTAACAAAGCAATGAAGCTTCCAGCACAAGCTTAGGGATTAAAGTTGTAATGCTCCTCTTAGAGAGAGATACCAGATCAGGAGATGCGTTGCAGGCAAGGAAAAGACCATCTGGTGAGACGAGGATTTCTCTGCGTCTCTCTTCTGAAGCAGAGTAGAGTGTCTGTACACCAGAAGGTCCTTCTCAGCGCTCCCCAGCTTCCTCAGCTATCCTCACCTATCATTTACTTTTCTGTCGCCTTGTTCTCAGGATGCTGGGGGCAAAGGAGATCGTTGGGCTTAGTTAAAACAGTGTATTAGGGGGGTATTATGAAGAGACAGCTGGACAGCGCAACGTTGGAAGCAAGACAAAGGTAGAGAAATATAAGCATAGACACCCCTGTTCATCATCATCATATCTAGGTTTCACAACAAGCCTATCATCATTCCCTGTTTTAATAAATTTACCTAACCTTTTGCAAGAAAACCCTAAACCCTAAAAAATAAACAAAACAAAGGGAACTGTGGATAGACCAATGCATCAAGACGTATCTCTCCTTAGTGAATAAAAGTAGAAAGAAAGTATAAGGGGGGCTCGGAGCTTCTATATAGATGGCTCTTAGTAGGTTTTTTCATTGAAGGGAGTCAACACGTAACTGGCTGGGCTGCGGTGAAGCAACAAAATAATTAAAAGGTGGGGCTTGCAGGGACGCTGATGATTTTGAAGACACTTGCAGCGTTCCTGATAATAATAATAAGGGAGAATAAGGCTATTTAAAGGATATATAGATCTAGAGCTTATCCATACATAGCCTATGAATGCCAATCTCCAACAGCAAAAGATAAAAAACGAGAACAGACAGCAATCAGCAGCCACTAAGACGGAAGGAAGCATCGAGCAGCGCAGCAAACAGCATCATAGAACTCAAGATTGCTGGCGCATACAACGGGTTAGATATCTTGAAAAGCAAAAGTATAAGCAGCGCCTTCAAAAGAAAAAGAAATTAAGAGGTAATTTGAAAGGCCCTGGCCCCAGTGCAGTGTACCGCTCAAGAGATGGAGTGTAAAGAGATGACAGCTGCATCTGCAGATCCGCCTTGAGAAACATTTTCTTCTTTTTGGCGTTTGTAGTAATGGTTAGGAGTTGCTAGCGCCAATTGATGCACAAGCTGCAAAACGAGGCTTGCATATGAAGCTCCAGCAAGGAGATGCACATCATCTGCTTACTACACATTGGCTTCTTCTCTGTTTAAAAGTTTAGGGGATGCATGCAGACACGCCCATGTCTGCTTTATTTGCAGCAAACAACGGCGAGTAGGTTTATATCGCTGAGGGTAGACATCAATGAATCAATACACTTAATATCATTGCCTGCTACTCACTGACTGTTCCACGATAAGAGATTAGAAATATTCTTTAGGTGACTCTTCAGGGTCTGGTGGAGAGAAATAAAGAGTTAAGAGTACGTACACCGCACACATTCAGTGGGCAGCCTGATTATCATTAATCCCTGCTACAGCTAGATTGAAATAAATGCTTTTAGGTGGATTAGCTTCGCCAGGCGACGCAGTAAGAATTCACTGTCAGGTGTATATCCAGCACCAACAACGTGGCTTCTGAAGCATTCTTCTCAGCCCTTGACGGTTAATCGTTTCGTTCTTCTGCTGTTGCTGTGCTTCTCTGCGGGAGATAGGGGCCTTCATATGCGGTGGAGCTGTCTTAATCCCCCTCTATGCTATCTATTGCTGTGTGATGGCTGCGGTTTATGTTGTTGTTTGTTTTTTGTTGGAGGGTCAGCACGAAAAAGGAGCAGCAGCTCTACACGTACACCTCAGAGCACAGCAAGCATCTATACAGTACCCTTACCACTAAGAGAGTTAGCAGCAGCAATATATACAGTTTAGCAGAAGCAGCAACATCAATGAAGAGGCACTGGTATTTAAGTTGTCTGTATATAGGGGTTCTAACTCCTCTCACTGCCTTTATCTGCTAGGAAAGACGTGAGGCTTGAGAGAAAGCAATAAGTTGAAGACAAATGCAGCAGAGTCACTCTCAACATTGTAGGTATACTTATTTCCTTTACTGCATGCAAATTATATATCTACAGTGGTGCTTGCTGCATGCAGACAAGAAGGCAAATCCTGCTGCGAGGCAGCCAAACATCAAAACATAACTATGTTTAATACACAAAAGATTTATTTATTTCTTTATATATATATATATCGACTCATTTACCACATTTAAATAATATTATTTCATCATATTGAATCGTATTGAGAGAGTATTATATATATAATATATATATAATATGCATATATATATATGCATATATATATACATATAATATATTACATTAATATAACCCAAGCATAGTATAATATCTAAAGTATGACAAGAAGTATGTCGATATTCTTTGTATACATTGAGTGATAAATAAGTTTATTTATTGATGTTCTCTATCTGTCAATCAATAAATATATTACTTGTTCTAAATTAGAGAAGGGCTTTGATATGTTTTTATGTTTGTTTGCTTCATAGCAGTAATTGCAGCGAAGTATTACTTCTCTCATAAATGAAAATACTACCAATTGCTGCTGCCTCGAAGCTACTGTGCCTCTGTTTCTAGGGATATAGAAGCAGGTGCCTCTCTGTTGCTGCTGTGCTGTTGTTGTTGCTGCTGCTGCTGCTGTGCTGCTGCTGTTGATGCTGCTGGATTTCTGTTGCTGCTGCTGCTGTTGCTGCTGCTGTGCTGTTGCTGCTGCTGCCGTTGTTGCGGTTGCTGCTGTCGTTGCTGCTGCTGCGCTGCTGCTGCCACTACACCATAAGGCGCTTGGAGTGTATCGACAGCTAAATTGTGAAGCCCTCTCTTCTGGGTATCGGGAAAATGAATTGAGGGCAGCAATGAAAGAAGAACAGACGATTGAGTGAACTTAAACCCTAAACCCTAAACCCTAAACCCTAAAACCTAAACCTTAGGGTACAAACTCTCTAAACCCTAAACCCTAAGGTATAAACCTACTAAACCTTAAACCCTAGGCATCGAGAGGTATATTTATCTCTAGCCGTGCTTAACTCTCCGCTTATTGATAACAGGTGAAGCAGATACTGCTACAAGAAAGAGCTATTTTTTTATTTGTTTGTTCTTTTTCATATATCCTTGATAGAAATTATTCTTTTATGCACAACAGATCATGTTTCCTTCTGTTGCGCCCCTGCAAACCCTAAACCCTAAACCCTAAACCCTAAACCTTGGTGTAAGCCCTGTACGAGGGAAGCCGCGAGCGTTGCTGGCAGTTGCTGTTGAAGCACCTTTTTGATTATGCATTGATATGATGATGTAGATAGATAAATTCCCATAAATACTAAATAAAAGAAGAAGAATAAATAAAATAAAGAAGAAGAAGGCCTCCTGTGTTTGCTGCTACTGCTGCTGCTGCTGCTGCTGTGCCTATCAAACCGCTCCGAGCAGCGGGAGCGGTTTGCTGCAGTTTGATTTTCTGCATTTTTTATGAGTTTGTTTGTTAATAGGATTTCGGCTCCAATTGGAGTGTATATACACTCCAATTGCAGCTAATAAACCCTCAATAATCTTTATAATGCTGCAGTGCTGCTGCCTTCACTATGGTAGCTCTCATTGTACAGCGCTGCAGCCTGATGGGGGCTTGTATGCATCTTCTCTTCTTTCTTTGCTTTTTACTCTTTAATTTAAACTTCTTTCATTTGGAAGGTCTACAGACTATCAGCCCAGCAGCAGCAAACACTGCACAGCAGCCCGCAGCTCCTGCAGCAGCAATCGAGGTCTCAAACAAAAGCAGTGATCTGACTGCTGCTGCTGCTGCGACAGTAGAAGCTGCAGTTGAAGCTGCTGCTGCAGCAGCAGCAGAAGCTGCTGCTGCAGCTGCAGAAGCTGCTGCTGCAGCAGGAACAGTAACGCCTGACTTCCTTGCAGCTACTGCCACTTCGTCTCCTTCAGCAACATCTCCCCTGCCGAGCATATCTGCATCTGCAACATCTCTCCCAGAGGAAGCAGAGAAGGGGGCCCCCATAGGGGCCCCCTCATTGGGGTCCTCCTTAGGGCCCCCCCCATTAGGGTCCCCCTTAGGGCCCCCCCCATTGAGATCCCCCTTAAGGCCCCCCCCATTGGGCTCCCCCTTAGGGCCCCCCCCATTGGGGGCCTCATTGGGGGCCCCCCCATTGGGATCCCCATTAGGGGGCCCCCCATTGTCCCCATTAGCGGCCCCATTGGGATCCCCATTGGAGGCCCCCCCATTGGGGGCCCCCCTGGGGTCCCCCTTATTGGGGCCCCCATTGGAGGCCCCTTCATTGGGGCCCCCATTGGAGGCCCCGTCATTGGGGGCCCCATTGGAAACCCCTTCTATGGGGGCCTCATTGGAAGGCCCTTCTATGGGGGCCCCCGGGCTTCCTGATTCAGATGTCTCTGGACTGATGAGTATAGATGAAGCAGAAGCAGTAGCAGCTGCGTGGCCGTGCGGAGAGGGCAGCAGATTATATTTTTTAATAGCAAACCCTGTCTCAGGAAGCCGCCTAGGTGCAAGGTTTTTAAACCCTCCTCCTACTGAAGCACTTGTTGTAGGATGCTCTCTAGTAAGGGTGTTTTCACAGAAAGACGCTGCAGCTCTGCAGCAGGGCCTCGACGACTTAATTAAATCTATCAATGCAAAGAAAACATTGTTTGCTCGCAGACAAGCAGCAGCAGCAGCAGCAGCAGCAATTGGGGGGGAAACAACAGCAGCAGCAGATGCAGCGTTAGTTCCAAGCCCATCAAAATTTACAGCATCATCAGCCCAATCAGCAGCACAATCAGCAGCAGCAGCAGCAGCAGCAGCAGCAGGAGAGCTTGTTATACCTTCAGAAGAGCGTGTGCGGTTAGTAGCAGTAGGGGGTGATGGGGCTTTCAACGGTATGATGCTTTCTGCTGCAAAAGCAGGGGTTGATATGGGTTGGACAGCAGCAGCAATTATACCCTCTGGCACAGGCAACGATCTTGCGCATACTTACGGATGGAATACAGCCCCATTTCCTACGCACGACCCGCTTAGAAAAGACAAGTAAGAAGCTCTTCATCTATGCATGCATGCATGCAGTCTTTGCATGCATGCAGTCTTTGTATGCAGGGATGTGTATGCATGCAATATATGAATCTATACAGTCTATGCATGCATGCAAACTATGCATGCATGCAGTCTATGCATGCATTTACTCTATGTTAGTCAATGTATGCATGCAGTCTATGGATGCATGCAAATTGTGTATGCGTGTATGAATTAGAGTATGCATCAGTGCATGCATGAATGCATGCATGCATGTATGCACACCTTAGGGGTATATTCGGGTGGTTTGGGGCTTTGAGAGTGTCCTTAAAAAGGAGTCCTTATACTGTTTGCATGCATACATACATACATGCATGCATGCATGCATGCATGCATGCATGTGTTTGTTGTTATGCGACATTGTATGATGTTCTCAACATTGTTTTTTTTGCATGTGTGTGTGTTTCTTAGTCTGGAGAGGATCTTGAAACTTTTAGAGCACTCCGATCTTGTCTTTCATGACTACTGGCGTGTTACTGTTGTAACAAAAGAAGAAGAAGGCGGCTTTAGTGCCTGGTGTAATACTGCAAAAAGTGTCGTTCGGCTAGGAGAAGACAGAAATGGGGGAGTTCGCATCAAGTCATTCATCATGAGCAACTACTTCAGCATTGGGTGAGGCAATATCCTGCTTCTGCAGCAGCAGCAGCAGCAGCAGCAGCAGGAGCAGCAGCAACAGCAGCAGCAGCAGCAGCAGCAGCAGAGGCAGCAGCAGCTGGGGCTTAGTTGTTGCTCGTTTTATAGAGTATTTACCTGCATGCATTCGATGGTTTTCTTTGTTAGTTTGTGATATATCCCTGGGTTTATTTATTTTGTTTAAAAGAAAATAAACAGCTCCATAGCTCTTCTTCCTCTGCTATTGGAGGCGTTAATAATATATAATGCACAAAGAAGAGAAAGAGGCTGCTGCATGATGCATGGTGAATTGTTTGTTTTTTTGTGCAAATATATTTTAAATATATTTTTTTCTGCGTTTCTTCCGCAGGTTTGAGGGCGCTGTAGGCACACAGTTTGATAAATATAGAGGGTCTTCTAGACTATGGAATAGAGCATTATACGGGTTTTTATTCCTTGCACATTCAAATACTGAACCCAAACTTTGTGATGCCGTTGATACTATATTCACCTTTAACCCTCAGCTGGTAGCGCTGGTTAGCAACAGCGATATGTACGATCAAATCCCTGGATTACTGCGTAAGTCTTCGTTATATTTCATTCATAGGAAGAAAATACAGAAAAAAATCATCATATTTAAACTAAAATTCATTTAAAATAACACCGGATTTGGGGTGTATGCGCACCTTTTGCAGCATTGCCGAAATTCAGGTTTCTAAGTTTTTTTTTGTGTTTTTGGGGCTTTTGCATGCAGCATGCGTTTCTATTACCTTTTTAAATTCAAGAACAATCCTTGGTGGCTTAGAGCTGTGGGGACCCTCTGTAAAACTGGGCCTATCACCCCCTAAAGACCCTAATGCTTATGCAGACTTTGAAGCTGCTGCGCATGAACTTCTCACTACGAAAGCCGACAGTGGCGATGGAAAAATAGAAGTTTTCTCCATGGGGTCTACAGCAGACTACGTACAAGCGCAAGCGGTAAGGAGGAAGCAAGCAAATGCATTAAATTAATTCAGTCTTACGAGTGGTGAACACTTAAACAGGAATAGCAAACAAACAAAACGTAAAAGCAATTCACATCATTTGCGAACAGCAGAAAAAGGATTGGTGTTGTGTTCAGCATTTTCGCTAGGGTTTAGGGTTTAGGGTTTTGTACAAAACAGCACTACATTTTTCTTTTCGTCTTTCTGTGCAGAAAGATGTGGCTGGAGAGAATAATGATAATTGTTTGTTTTTGTTTGTTGAATTTGTGTATTTTTTATTATATCTAATTACAATGCGTTATATGGGTGCGTTTTCAAGCGTAGATCATCGATGGAATTAAATTGCAGTTTCCACTTTTTCGGGTGTATATGCAGGTCCGAGCCAATGCGATTCAGCGAGTAATGCAGGGGTCGGGGCCCTTTTTGCTAACTTTCAAAGACGGCATCGGGGATATGCCTTTTCAAGTCGATGGAGAATACTTTTTTGCTCATGGGGTAGGAAGTATTTCCGTGCGACAGTATGGTTCATTTGGGGTTCTTAGATACCGAGGAGGGCTTTAAAAAAGGAGAAAGAAGAGGAATAGAGGAAAAAAAGAAGAAATAACAAAATAATATCAGCATTTCTTCTATTATTTAATAATTTATAACTCGTCAATGGCTGATTCATAGTGCCTGTCTGTCTGTGCATAGACAGCGAAAGAAGAAGAGAGTTATGGTGTTCATTTTCTTATTCTTCTTCTTCTTAAGAGAATAAATGCATAAAGGGATATTACACTAGCAACAGAAAAACTCAAATAGAAGAAAGCGAAGGCTGCCGCATACCTGAAGCTTATTTTGTTTGGTTTTGTTTGCTGCTCACCCTCAGTATATTTATTCATGTAGTCCGTACATATATATATATATATATTTATATATATAATATTATATATATAATGGGTTATCGTTTAAACATTTTATATATACCCATTATCATATTTAATATACTTTATATATATATATATATATATATGTATATACTATAAGCTACGCTTCCGTAGTTTGCATGTAGATAATATGCATAATATATAAAAGCATTATATGTATGGTGTATATGTTTTATATGTATTGAAGTATATAATATACATCATATATATATGCTACTTAGATTATATATTATTATATTATGTACATCTTAACTCTACTCCCTGCACTCTGCTCTGCTTATAACTAACTGCATAATAGCTTATATATATATACATATATATATATTATATATATATGTATATATGTATGTAACATTTGCTAAACTGCTGAGCCAAACGAACTCAGACTTCTTTTTTCTTTTTACTCTTTTTCTTGTCTTTTTTAAATTTATCTCCTTTCTTTCTCCTGTCTCCTTCTTCATTTCTAGTTATTACTTTTTTTTATATTATTTCTTTTTGCTTATTCTTTTTATATTCATCCTCTTGTTCTTCACGTGTGTTATATTAGCACATCCTGCTCTTCTTTTTTATTTTTTATCTCTCTATTTCTACATTTGTTCTTCTACTCCTCTCTTATTATTTCTTTTTCTTTCTTTATTTTATTTTATTATTTACCTCTTTGTTTCTCTCCTTATACCCATTTTTATAATATTCTGTCTTCTCTTTTTTTTCTTTTTCTGTTTCTTGAGTTGCTTCTTACGAAATATGTATATATATATATATATATATACATGCATATACATATATATATATACATGCATATATATA